CCCCCCCCCCCCCCCCCCAAACAAAATCTCTCTACGCGAGGCAGACATCCACATGTCGCCGTGTCGCACCTTCGCCGGCCTCCAGAGTCGCCGCGGTTCGGCTCCAAACGCCATCCAGAGTCTCAACTCCCGCGGCGTCGTCGTCAGCATCCTCCCAAATCGCCTGGAGGTCTGGGTCGCCGACCCCCGCCCCAGCCCCGACCCCCCCTTCCTCCACTTCTCTCCACGCCGCTTCCATTTTCTCTTGGAAGTCGCTGTCGGACAAGGTGGGCGAAGGAGGGCGTGTGAAATCGTTAGATTGGCATTGTGGAGTGTTCCTTTGGTGTCCCATAGAAGTGTGCTGTTCTCTACAAGTATACGTACGCCCTTTGGGGGACTCGGCCTGTGACCACGGAAGGCGTCCGCATCAGTTGGGCCAGTACAGCCGATAAGAAGGTACCTGAGCAGAGATCGGCACGCTTTCTTGAAGACGAAGGCGATAACAACAACGACAACAGTGTTGCGAATTCTGGGAAGGTGGGGCGGGGAGGGTCGCTGACGACAAGGCGTAACCGCTTCAGTACCAATACGCTGCAACAAGCTTCGTGTTCTCACTCCCCCAACCTTGTCCGAAGCTGAAACTTGGAGCAAATAAAACCGTCTTTCCAGTGCCGGCGGCCCTTCAAAGACACCAACACTCATGAATGGGCCTCTCTCATTCATGGCTTCGGGGTCACAAATCAGGGTTGACTTTAGCTCGCTACCAATCGCAAAAAAAGGCTCGATTTCATGTTGTATTGGGCAAGAAGAAAAGAAAGCGAGATTCCAGCACCGTGTAAGGCGGGGTCGACACTCACTCGTTCGTGGCCTACTGCCGAGTTCTCGGACCCACTCTCAGATCGTCCGAATAAAGCTCTCTCGTGCATGTACTACCCACACGGATTCATTGAATCCAACACTCGAGGAAGGCCTTGAAGGTGGTCGCGTGACCTCTGTCGGCAATAAGCTCGACGCAAGACGAGTCGGTAACGGTACGAGTATAAGGTTTGGCACCGGCAGCTAGGAGCTCTTCGGTCCTCCATGTCCGCCACCCACAACACTCGAACTGAACCTCTACAACTCACGGGGCCAGGCCGGTCTTTCCGTCGGACCACGCCTCCTCCTGGGCCGAGGACAGCAGTTCCGCCGCCGACGGTTTCAAGGAGGGCTCTTCGCGGACCCCCACTCCGGAATCGAGGCCGGTCCAAGCGTCGCCGAAGGAGCCCACCAGCCGCTCCTACGATACAGCAAAACGATTGCAACCAGCGCCACCATTCCGGGGTCGGGGATTGGGCGGGAAGCACTGGCACTTTCGAGCATATGGGCGGTGTATGTGCGGATCTCGACAATGGGCGGGTGCTCCTTGCGTGAAGCTGCTGCTGCTGTGTCGAACATCAGGCAAGCACGCAACGGACGCACGCTCGTTCCGCGAACACCACCAAACAGAGCACCTACATACATGCGGAGGGCATACGCTTCCCATAGAGGTCAACCAGAAAACGAAGCCTACGAGAACATAAACGCGACTAACAACGCCATCACGTTCCCCATTCGCATTCCTAGGGAGCATATACACACTCACAGAAGGCACACATGCACCATTCTCTTGTACTCCGCACCTGCTGCTGCTGCTCGGCGGCTTCATTCTCCGCGTACGCCACTTGAAAATCCGCCTTTGTTGCTGCCGCCGCCGCCGCCGCCGGATCGCCGGCCTGCTGGTGCTGTTGCTGCGACGATGCCCCCCCTGCCCAGGCCTCATCGAGACCCTGCGCCTCCCCGGAGCCCGGAACCACCTGCGCCGCGAGCAGAGACAAAGCGCAACGCCAGGAGCAGTTCCGGTCACTACGAAATAAAACACGATGCGTCGAAGCGCAACAACGGGCCGCAATATTCCTCTTCAACTTCAAGTGCCGAACGAAAGAACCTCGGTCGTTCCAGGCTCATCCAGAAAGAACCGCAGAACGCCTCTCAAGGAGTGCGTCACAGAAAGCAAAATGACACCTTATCGCCAGAGATCCGCACCCCCCCCGTGCCTAAGCGGCTCGAGAATCGGAGCAGCTCGCTGTCGCGGAAGCGCCCGTCCGGGTCCGCCGCCATCTGCCCGGCGAGCGACCTCGCGCTAGCGCCGACTTGCCCCTCCCCACCCCCCTTCTCCTCGTCGCCGCAGGCGCTAGCAAGACTCTCGGCAGTGACATCAGCAGAGGCGGCGGCGGCGGCGGCGGCCTCTCCTACACCACCATTGCCCAAATAATCGCTTTTAACGCCAAACGTCGTACTCCTGCCGCTGCTACCCGCTACGCCGCCGCCGGTAGTACCAGCAGTGGTTACCTGGCCGTGCATCCCAGGTCTCGGCGCCATCCCAGGCCCGAACGCCGCGGCTGGCGGCGGCGGCGGCGGCGGCGGCCCATCAGGTCCGTACGCCATGGGCTCAGACCCGAACCCTCCCTGCTGCGCCGCCCAGGCTGCCTCCAGGTGCTCAAGCTCCGCCGGATGCGGCTGGTGCATCATCAACCCTCCCATCTCGTGTTGTCCGTGGAACTCGTTCCCCCACCCAGCTGCGGCCCCGTCCCGCCCCCGTGCGGCGAGCATGGCACCAGGAGGAGGAGGCGGCGGTGGTGGTGGGCCCCGGTGCACGCCAGCCGCCGCTACTGCGCCCCACGCACCATCGAAGTCTTGGCGGTGGTTTTGCATCATCATGTGCGGCGGAGGTCCGCGGTTGCCGCCCTCGAACTCGTGCGCCCAGTCGTTGTTGCCGTGAGGGTGCCGGTGTTGACCCTGCCATGGGGGTGGACGGTGTTTCACACAAAGGGAGGCTGGCGGGGGTCGTCATGTATGAGATGAAATTCAGTTGATCCTTGCCTTATTTACAGGGAGGAGATGCGAACGACACCGACGAAAATGGCAAGGGATAGGTAATCGAGGGATGCCCAGTTGCTAAACAGACAACAACTGACCCCGGGAGGACCTACCACCGGTCGCCCCGGTGGTCTAGTGGTATCCTCGTAATCCGCTAGTCGCAGAGGTCGTGAATTCGAATTCCCATGGGGTGAAAAATTTACGAATTTTGCGGGTGAAAGCGAACTATAGCTAAAAAGCTCTCTTAAGTACCACACTTCGACGGTAGCACCGTTGACGAGGGAAAGGGACGGCTGGACCCTTCTCGCGATAAAAAAAAATTCAGCACGCACCGCAGGAGGAAGGTGGGGCATGAAAAGAAACAAAAAGAAGAAAAAAGCCCTCGTGCTTACCCCCCTCCCGTGTGACCCTGGATGGTTGTAATTGTACGAAAACATACCCTGAAAAGTGTAGTCCTCGACATACGCTGAAAAGTGTAGTACACGTCTCACCACGAAAAAAGAGGGGACTGTCGCTATAATATACAGGACGAAAACACACACTCACACTCTCCACAGTATACATTGTAGGAGTACAGAATAGCAAACGGATCCCCCGCCCCCCCCCCCGTCGCTAGCAGAAAACGCACCTGCTCGGGATGGCTCGCGTTGCCTCTAGGCTCCACCATCGGACCCATCATTCCTTGAGCTTGCGCTTGTGCGTGGGCATGGGCAGCGGCAGCAGCTCCCGGGGGGGGACCACGCATCATCGGCCCTCCCTGCTGCTGTCGTGGGCCGAAGTCTCGCCGCGAGGGGCCTTTCATCTGGCTGCCGGCCCCCGCTGACCCTTCCATGAGGGTGTCCACCAGACGAGCTATCGGGTTCCGAGACGCCGTTGTGCCATCGGCGGCGCATGTCTTCGACGAAATCGAGGGAAGCCAACGGGGTAATACAAGTACGGGGGTGATGTAGGCAACTACACGTAGGGAAACGAGTGTTTGTTTCATTGACACTGCATGTTGAAGGCGGCGATGTCGAACACCAGAGAAGGCCCGCTTTAATGTTGTGAAAACCATAACTACGCCGGCCGTTGAGACAGCAAGCAGTCAACGCATAAGTATAGCGTAACAGTTCCTGTTTGTAACCAGCACGAAGATGCAAAATGTAGTATCATCAGCGGGATGGAACTGCTATGTGCATGTACCGGTACTCTTTCAATGTACCGCATTCGCGATGGAGGGTGTGCTATATTGCTGCATGATGTACCTGCCCGCCCACCAGGTTCCCGATCACGTCCATTGCCGAGGAGCCTGGAGGAAAGAGTAGCAGGCGAAGGCCGATACCGTTGGTTCCTCAAGATAGAAAGGCGAAGAGAGAGCTAGAGAGGCCGGCGGCTGACTTTGAATGTCCTCACTGCTGTAATGCTGCTGTGCAAGGCTGTGCGGCCGTGGGCGATAGGTACCTCGATTGCATCCACGGAGCTCTCTGATTGTTTTTTTTTTGGTCTTCCCTTCCAATCAGCGCTCACGGCACTGGTGCCGTTTACTCCAACCCGTGGTCACACAGAAGAGCCCCTCTCTACCCTCCCCTCCTGCGGTACTTTGCCTTCGATTTTTAATGCGAGAAGAGTTCAGCACTCTCTTCGCTCTGTGTACACACGAACTAGCGCTATCCACTAGGCCAGGAGCGGAAGCGAGAGAAAAACTCACTTTGCAAGAAAAGCTCGCTTACGCCGGGATTCGAACCCCTGACCTGACCTCTAGAAGGTTTCGAGGTTACCAACTAGACCACCGGGGCGACCGGCTGGTGCTGTGCTGTGATTGGCTGACTTCGCCGGAATTCTTACAATAATGTAGGCAATATTCGCGTTTTGGCGACCCCCGTCGGCACCCACTCAACAATTGCTCCTCAAGTTCTCAAGTACTCACTGGTACTGCGCAAGTCTGGAGACTACACCACTGAACGCTGACTCACAGGTCCAGACCCAAGTCACCTGCCATCGACGTAGCGATCACCGAGCATCAGGTAAGCAACATCCTGTTTGTTGTAAAACACGTCGTTGGTGGAAAGGGTCTGGCGTGCTATGCTCGTTATTTGCGCCAGCAAGTCAGCAACCGGCGGGGGCGTACGGCGCGTCAAGACCCCAGCGTGTTGACAATTCCAGCTGTGCATGCCCCGTCTAACGTTGACAGCAGACGGAAAACCCTGCTGCCGTCATGTATGTACAACACAGGCGCGTGTGCGTTTGGTTTGGTGCTGGGCTTCTGTCTTTAGGTTCCGTCAGACAACAAGATAGGTGCTGCCGCGATGTTGTTGCGCCGTTACAAAAATGCTACCTGCGGCTACTAGTAGTGCTTTCCCGAGCAGCCTATTGTCCCCTACGTAGGGTCGTGAGCAGGAGGTGTCCGCCGTGTCGGAGGAAGGAGCTCACGGCTCGCGGGGCAGGCGTTTGTTTCACGACGCTTCGCGTCGCCGGCGCCCTTTACCGCAACGCTGGCTGCTGCGGTCCCATGCGCATAAAGATCAATGAATCGCCATCGTTGGATACAAGACACCGGCGCGACGAAACAAACTGATGTTGCTGCTGCTGCAGCTGGCACCGCTGCTTCCATGCGATTGATCTTTCGGTCGGTTTCCTTGTGTACGGGTAGTGTATAGCGCGTGCCTCCCTTTCCATCCAAGGACTTTGCGGGCTCTCTCTCTCTCTCTTGCTCTCTCTCTGTTCTCTGACTCATGGAATTTTTTTGAGAGCCAGTTTTTGTCTTCAACCCGACGAGACCCCGACGGCGCGTGCAACACGAACGGGGTGCCTTGTACAATTAAAACCTACCAGCACAGCGTAGACTAGGTAGGCTATAGAAATTCTGCAGACACTACGCGAGCCTCCCTCCCTATGCTTGGGTGGGTCCCGAAGAAAAATGCAGACACAAAGGTCGACGGTTGTAACTTTTGGAAGTACCGTTACTGGGACCAGTCCCCGTTTATCCGACGGAATTTTTTGGATCATGCTGTACAAAATAAATAGAGGAGTGGCCAAAATCGGGTACACCCGGTCCGTATCCGGCCATAATCGGGTACACTGGTTATACACAGCCGACAGCGCCCTCCTGGCGCTAT